TTTATTCAAAGTAAAAACAGCGACCACTCTGAACCTTAGCTGAATGCCAGGTTTCATCATGTATCGGCCACTCTGAAAACAAACCCTCAAGCTCAACTCAAAACCGGAGCAAAGAAGCTAGAAAACAAGCTTAAACTCCTGTACACCCTTGAAGGGCACCCACTACAAATCCCTTAAGATAAGCCCGTATAGATCCCTTTACAGGAACCCTAAACCCCTATAAGTAACGACTCTTTGAGGGAACCCGTCCTGCGAGAAGCCCTTAAACCCTCTAAGCGCCTTATGAAAGGTCATGACAGCAACTCTTTGAGGGAACCCTAGCCTAGACCACTCTAGACCCCTTAAAAGGACTCCTTATGGATCCCTTTAAACCCTAAACCCTGAACCCTAAACGGTAAACCCTAAATCCTGAAACCTTAAACCCTAAAAATTGTACCCTAAACCCAAAACCCTACGCCGTCCTGCGAGAAGCCCAAAGCTCACTGCTTGGGGGAGCAGCCACCGGGGAGGAACAGAGAACGCCTTTTCAAGGTCTTCAGAAGTGTTCCTGCAGCTGTGGAGTTTAGGGGTTTAGGGCTTTAGGTGTTTAGGGTTTAGGGGTTTAGGGGTTTAGGGATTTAGGGTTTCAGGGTTTAGGGGTTAGGGGTTTAGGGTTTAGGGTTTAGCGGTTTTGAGTTTAGGGTGTATTTAGGAAAATGTGTAAAGCCCAGTTTTGGTCGGGATAGGACTTCACGGGATTCGCGGCTTACCGGCGTTGAGGCGCGGAGTCGTGAAGTGCGTGATGAGCCGAGTAGAGAGGCTTTCAGTGAAGCGTCCGAAGGGGCGGTTCAGGGTGTTAGGATTCAGGGTTCGCTAAGGATCCAAAGGGCCCAAAAATTAGGTACTTAGGTTTCGGATAATAATTAAAAAAAATTAGGTAGGTTACTATTTCCCTAAACCATAAACCCTAAACCCTAAACCCTCAACCGTATACGATTCTTAAGTGCATGGACACTTAAAGGTTTATACGACTTGGGGCTGCCGGGGTTTCTCAAGGTCAAGGCTTTGAGGACTTAGGGTTCCCTGTTTAGGGTTTAGGGTTTAGGGTTTAGGGTTTAGGGTTTAAGGTTTAGGGTTTAGGGTTAAGTGGTCCTTTAAGGGTTTACTAGGGCCCCAAAAAAGCACATAAGCAAAAATTAGG